CAAACCATAACCCAATTTTTATAATTTAATTTGCTTTTTGTAGTTCATTAATTCGAGCACCAAAGGATTGTGTGTGTTTTGAAACAATTTGGAAACGAATAACATTTTAAATAAAATGTTTTTCAACTAAAATTTAGTCTTGCACGCCCTTTCCCTGTAAAAAAGACTAATAATTTTAACTTGCACACCTTGGGGAAGTCACTTTAAATATAATTATTTGATACTCATTTCAAACCTTTTGTTACCAGTTCTTAATTATTTTACGTATGTTTTTGACTTTAAATAATTATTGTCAACCCAAGCATTTTTATGAATCTTCAAGGTCGCCTTTAGTTATGTTGAATGACTTTAATTAAATAATTCCTTAAAAATGTTGACTCAAAGAATTTCTAAAATATTTAAAAACCGAAAAACTGAGAATATCAAAATGCGTGGACTTTCTGGTTATCACATCATGATAGTCTCGAAGTACCTTGAAACTATCAAAGACTTTATTAACTTGGAGTTGGTATGCAAGAAGTTTGGTGGCAATATGGAGAAGTTCCACTTCAACCCGATTTTGTTGAATTCCAAAACAATTAGGTACTTTCCAAACATCGAGACACTTCACTTGTGGGATGTAGAAGATGAGAATTTTGGCAATGGATTTATGATGAACACAAAAGAAAAAGTAGAGTGTGAAAATAAAGGTGTTTTGAAGAAAGAGTTCTTTCGAATCATTGTGTGGTTTGATGTTGACTTTGAAACTGTTGACAGAAACAAAAGTCGAAACATCGAGTTTAAAATAGTTTCTTACACTCAAAATGATAGAGAGAAATTTGGTAATGTCATACCATCAAGTGTTACATCAATTGGTGATTGGTGTTTCGGTGAATGCAGTGGTTTGAGCGGTGTTACAATACCATCAAGTGTGACATCAATTGGTAAATATTGTTTCTATGGATGCAGTAGTTTGAGCGGTGTTACAATACCATCAAGTGTGACATATATTGGTGGTGGTTGTTTCAGTGAATGCAGTAGTTTGAGCAGTGTTACAATACCATCAAGTGTGACATATATTGGTGATCGTTGTTTCAGTAGATGTAGTAGTTTAAGCAGTGTTACAATACCATCGAGTGTGAGATCAATTGGAATTGAATGTTTCCCATCAGATACAATAGTTCATCGAAATTAATTTACTTAATATTTAATGTTTATTATTGTTTTAATAAATTTAATTATAAATTGTTATGATTATTATATTATTATTTATTGAAAATTAAAAAAAAAGTTGACCTATTATATACTAAAGTGAGGAGAGAAACCCGCACCCATTTTCTTTTTTCTTCTTTGAAAAGCTGTGAAGAAAAAA